CGTTGTTCATAGCTTCTTGGGTTTATAGACAAAAAGCTAAAATGGTGATGAGAAGTTGTGTTTACGTTAAAAAATATGCTTAGTTATAGGCAAAATATCATGGTTAAATTTAATGGCTCTCATAAGCGTGCGGCTTGTTAACTTTTTACAACTTTAAATTGTAAAATTTAATAGTGCTGTGCACATGTAACTAATTGTATCGAAAATGACGAAATTTTTGTAATAGTGTGTAAAAAGAAAATGTAAGAGGAAAATATTATGATGAAGATAAAATTTAACAACAGCGTTAGCTTAAATAAACAGCGAGAAATAAAAAACTATATTGAAGAATATTTAGAACCAATTGCATTAGGTGAGTATAATGAAATTGAAACAATTAGTAAAGACATTGTAGAGAAAATTGAAATAAAAGTAAACGAGTGGGGGGAAACCATTCCCGGAAACTGAAAAGATGAAATCGAAAATATTACCCTTGAAGCATTTAAAAATATAATCAGAGAAAAAATTAACTCTTTTCCCGAAAACAAACAAGAGGAATTTGAAACACAATTTGCTAATGCCGATATTAAAAAATTAATTGGTCTGCATAACGCCGCCGATTATGAAATAAACGAAAATCATATTTACGAATCGATAAAAAGTTGCAAGGAAGAGATAGAAACTATTAAAGAAAGATTATCCGACGGGCATGAGTCGCCAGAAACAATTATCCAAGAGTTGAATATTTTGCACGGAAAAATTTCCAGTTATTTGACGGGGGAACATGGCAAAGTTTGTCAAGAAAAATTCGGCTTAAATAAAGAAGACTTAGCCAAAGTTGAAGAATTAACCAAGCGAGCAGTTGCCGAAGAAATTGAAAAAGTAATTGAAACTCCTATTCAGTACAAAGTAACAAAAAAAGATACGCTTTCCCTTAATATTACTAGTGAAGAATTTAATTCCAGGTCTAATGACTATCACAATTATATTTTAACGAGACCTTATTCAGAATTAGAAGGATACCGGAGAGAATTCAAAAGGCAAATCCAACAGCAAAAAGTCCAAAAAGGCGAATTTATCAAAAAAATTTTTTCTAAACTTTCTGGTGGCATATGAAGTAGAGAACCAGTAATTAACAGTAATAAATTTGGCTTAAATTATGACCTTAAAAGTGCGGTTCCTCAGTTTAGTTATAAAAAAATTGAGCAACTTGCAAATGATTCAACACTTCTTAGTAGAGAAATAAATAGTTGTAAGACAATGTTTTTTGATAAGAAAAATGGATTAGAAGCATTATTTGATAAAAGCCAAGAAATTAATATTCACTCTGACCCTAGTAAATTAAAAGAGTTAATTGGAGAAATCAACGCCGCCTTTACTAATACAGAAAAAGACAGTTTTGAAGAAAAACTTTTTGAGACGGAACAAATAAATGGTTGGCGTGAAGAATTAGCAATTAAATATAATTTACTAACCAAAAAAGAAAAAATGAACCTTAATAGTCAAGAATGCCAGCTCCCAACTAATGCCAGTTTTGACGATTTGGAAGAAAAATTGGAGGAAATCGAAAGAGAAAGAGAAATTTTAATAAAATTAACTGACCTAAAACAAGTTTACAGCACGAGAGAAGATAACAATAAATCTGTTGATTTGCAACTTAGTATAGTTGATGAATTTGAAAGATTTTCTAGCCGCTGGGGGGGAGCACCACCAGAACTAGAAACTAGAAGAGCCAATACCATGTGAATTTTGAATATATATAAATTATTCGGAATAAGGAAAAACAATATAAAAGAAAGTATAACTGACAAAGATTTGGAAAGATTAAAAAGAGAGTTGGGGGATTTAGAGACATTTTTAGAGAATATTAATAACACGACATGGGAAGAAGACGAGAGCCAAAAAAATTTAATCATAAATGATATTAACAACTTAAAAAAAGAAGCAATAGAAAAATTAGAAACCCAAGAACAAAAAATAAAATCCCAAACATCTGCTTACGATAACTTATTAGATAGTATTCAAAACGCCACTGATTTCGATGCACTCCAAACACTTAATAACCAAGTTAATATTTTTGACTACCAAGACTTACCTGCTGATAAAAACAAAAATGCTTTAGAGATTGCTTGAAATCAAAAACAAACAGAATTAATTAAGAATAGGTTAGAAAAAGAAAAGACAAATCATCAACTAAGAGAGAGAGAGAGAGAGAGAGAGAGAGAGAGAGAGAGAGAGAGAGCAATCTCTCCACAGCAAGAGAACCGGAAGACAAGCCTCCCAGTTTATACTTCCCGCGACCGAGAAACTGACCTCAAGCCTCCCACCACAAACTTCGATTTTAAATGAAAACAACAACACGCCTGAAACTAAGCATCCTGAAACAACTAGTGACAATTCTCTTTTTCAAGACAAGAAAAATAATGAACCTAAAATAGCACCGGTAGAATATGAAGATAGAGAAGCAGAGAAATCAGAATCTGAAAATATTTTGAGTGGTTATTCTTCAGAATATGCTAGCCAAGAATCTGCTTCCGAAACAAACTCAGAAATAGAGACTAACAATGAGACTAGCTCAATGGAAATGTCAGATTTTGACTTAGAAGAGGATTCAGAAACCTACGACCCATTCGAAAAGTTAGAAGAATTAATTAGCGAATACCCTGATTATAAAATCAGTGAAGTTATAAAATTATTTTTGTCCCCAACCAAAGAGTTAGCCAGTTGTGGTAAATTAGATGAAGCGATAATTTCGGGTTGAGAAAGAATTATTGAATCAATAGAGAAGCCTAACGGAGAAATTGATGAAAACTTACAAACTTGAAATCAAAAATTATCACAAGCAGTAGAGGACTTAATAGATCATTTAAGATTTCGTTTAGAGCATGGTGAAGAAAAACTTCCGACTTATGATAACTACGTGGAAAAAGAAATAATGCTTCAAGAAGAATTATACTTAGCCGAGCAAAAGCTCATCGACTTTCAAGACGTATATAATGAAGCATTAATAGAAAATGAATTAAATGAGGCGTTGATAGCAGAAATCCAACAACAACAACAACAACAACAACAACAACAACAACAACAACAACAACAACAACAACAAGTCATAAACCAATTGCAATCTAATAATAATATACTTAAAAATGAGGTTAAATACCAAGAAGAGCTGTTAAAACGGCAGAAACTATTAGAAGATGCTTTGACAAAAACACCAGAAAATAATGAAGCAAGCGAGGCTACTATTCGAGAATGACAACTTATCGCAGAAGAATTAAAAATATGGTATAGAACTGCAGATAGCATATATAAAGGGTCGATAAGAGAGAGACTTGACTGAATAGATGAAATAATAGAAAATTTATCTAGTGAATTAGAAAGAAATGATTCAGACAATGATAATGAATCCACATTAGAAACTTCTGTTGATTATGAAGCAAGTGGAGAATTTTCAGACACTTCTTCAATTAGCAATAGTTCTGACATTTACTTAAAATTTCTAGTCGATAAAATTGCCAAAGCCGGAAATCATAAGGAATTACACGATGCTTTTCAAGCAGCTAAATTAAGCAATTTTTATTCAACTCATAAAAGCTTAATTGATGATACCTATCGTAGGAGAACCTTTGTTGAATATGATCGATTTTGGGAAGTTATTCAAATGTCTACTGATAAAAAAGCATTAAGCGATTTAAGTAGCCAAATTAATTATTTAGATAGAGAAGTATTTCCAGAAAGAGAACAATTACATCGAGCCAAAATTCAAAGAATAGCCGTTTTAAACGCTATTGAAAGAGTGGAAAGAGTTTGACAAAAAGTGAATATAGAAGTTGAAACCAATCAAACCTTAGACGAATCTTTGGGAAATAATTGAAAAAAAGATTTATTTGATGGCAAAACTGGCAAGAAAATTATTGAGCAAGAAGAAGCGTTGAGTAAATTGTTTTATGAATTCCGCCAAAAAAAAATAGAGAACCGAATTGCCCTTGAAAGTCGTCAAGAAGAAATTATTCATGAAATTAATGAAGTTTGAAATGAAGCCCGCTTACCACTTTATCAGCGAAAGCAAATTTTAGGAATTGATAATTTCAAAGATTATATAACGAGTTTACCAGCAGAAAATTTAGAGTCAGAAGCAGGCTGTTTAATTAATTTAATTACCCAAGCTAAAATTGCTGCCGAAACCGAAAAAGAAGAATTAGCATTGAAAGCAAGGCAAGCAGCAGAAGCGGCTTCTCGTAAACGTGAGTTAGCAGAAATAGCCCAGACACTGAGAGAAGAAAATGAATTGCTAATGTGTCAAGAATCCGCTATTAATGTGGTGAAACTTCACTGAGCCAACCAACTCGACAATATTAAAAAGATTAACGAACAAACACAAGCGGAAGTACTAGGCACTAACTGAGAAGTTGACTTGCGTGCCAAGCCAGATAAAGCCAGCATCAATGTTGAGCAGGATCGTTTAATTCGGTTAATTGACACGGCAACTGAAGTATCCGTTGGTGAGTTCTTTTCTCGCACCGAAATAGAAGCCGAACAAGAACTCCAAAAACTACATTGACAAAATGCTGCCATTACTGCAGTCAATAATTTGTGAAACAACCGACAAACAGAAGGACAAATAAACAATAAAACTTTGGAGCAAATTATAGGTAATAACTGACAAGCCGATATTCAAACTCTCAAAGAGGAAGCAGCAATCAACAACAAATGTAATGAATTGATAAATTTAATCAATATTGAAATTGCTCAACAGCAAGAAGCAGAAAGAATTGAACGAGAGAGGTTAGAAAGAGAAATCAACGAAAGAAGGTATCAAGGAATCAACAGACATGAATCAGGAGAACAAGCACAAAATTGAGGCGATACAAACAATAATTATTCTGCTTCCTCTCAATTGAAAAATTCTTCCTACACAGAGGAAAAGACTATTAGCCAAACTGAAAGTATAAATCAAAATAGTTCGAGTTTTACAACAAATAATGATACTAGCTCTTTATCTTCTAGTTCAGAAATTACAACTTTTGCTTATTCTGCTCCAGATGGTGGAGATTATTCAGGTGGAGGAACAATTGCTGCTGAAAACTTCAGTTCTCCAAAATCTCCTAGTCAAATTATTCAAGAAATTTTAGGTCAAGCTGAAAAAGCAATTGAAAGCAAACAACTTCCTCCACTAGAAAATGCTGAAAAGCAAATAACTTCTCTCTTTGAAGAAAAGGACGAAAGCAAAAAACAAGTTTATTATCAACATCAAACTGAATTAGAAAACAAGTTAGAAAAAGTTATTCAAACCAAAACTATCCAAGAAATTCAAATTAACCACTTAGAAATTGCCAAACAAATTAAAGAAACTATTGAACCACAAAAAATTCAAGGCAAAGAATGAAAAGAAATTATTGATGAAATTGTGATTGAGAAAATTCCCGTTTACAAAAAGCAAATCCAAAATGATATTTTACAGCAAACCAAAAAAGCGGCTATTGAAAGTGTGGCAGAGGACTTAAAAATTGCCCGTGTCATTCGACCAGACATTCAACCAAAGCCAGAGAAAAAGCAAAACTGGAAGTTAGTGATAGAAAATTCTCCTCACGAAAAAGATATTAAACAAGAATGAGAAGAAAACAAAAAAAATATTCTAAAGCAAACTCAAGAAGCAATAATTAATAATCTGAATAGTTTACTTGGTTCAGAATTAAAAATTGAGGATTTGGATAATCCATTTTCTGAGTTCTCGAAAGAAGTTTATCAAAAACAGTTAACTGAATTGACGGCTTATCAGCAACAAGTGGCAGCACACATTGCCGAGAAAAAAAGGAATTATTCCCAAATCAATGAGTTAAATACTACTAATTTTGTTGCTCAACAAGAAAGTAAATGAAAAAACTTGGTTTTGCCTTTAACGCTTGGAGCAGCCGGCACCGTGGCAGGAATTGTTGCTTTAAATTATTGGTTAAATAGTGGCAAAACAAAAGTAGGTGAAATAACTCATAGAGGAATGCATCCAAATGTTCCTAACAAAATTAAATTGCTGGTTGAACAATATTTAGTTGACTTAAAGAAATTACAAAAAAATGGTTATAGTACAGAATTGGCTCAGAAAATTCAGGAAAGTTTTCGACAGATACAAGCTTTAACTGAACAATGGCTAGCCAAACAAAAAAACCTTTTTGATGAGAAAAATTGAAGTAATTTTCAACAAAAATACGAAACATATAGAGAAGAACATGAAAAATAAGCAAAATTTTTCAAAGTCAGAAGCAAGACACTTTTTATCGCACTTGTTTGTACCTATTGCTTATACTGTGGATTTCGAGGAGGAGTTAGATTAAAATTATATTAACTTATTAATGGAAAGAAATAAAATTGAGAAAATTATAAAAAGTATTCAAGAAGCTCCTCTTTTTCAACAAGCCTTTATTCACAGTTCCTTTGCTAACGAAAACAAAGAAAAAAAAATCTCTGATTACGAAACTTTAGAATTCTTGGGAGACAGTATTTTAAACATGCATACTTGTCTTTACATTTACCAAAATTATCCTCATTATTCTGAAGGAGAAATGAGTAAATTAAAACAATTTATGGTTCAACAAAAAACCTTGGCTGAATTAAGCAAAAAAACCAAACTTTTTCGTTTTTTAAAACTTGGAGCAGGAGAAGAAAAAAATAAAGGCAAACAAAAAGCAAGTACTTTGGCAGATATTTTTGAATCTTTTGTTGCCGCCTTATATTTAGAAAAAGGTGCCAAATCTGTCGAAAAGTTTCTTGATTTATCCCTCTTTGCTTGAATTAAAGGAAAAGAAACCTTAATTTGAGATTATAAAACACAATTACAAGAACTTTGCCAAACTCAAAATAATCGTTTAACTTATCGAGTGGTTAAATGAAGCAGCCAAACCAAAAACAAGCAATTTGTGATTGAAGTTCGCGATAGTTTAGGAAAAATCTGTGCTCAAGGACAAGGAAAAAGTAAAAAAGAGGCTGAGCAGACCGCTGCTCGTCATGCCTTAGAAAAAATTGGTAATTTAAAATAACAACAAATTAGTCCGAGCCGTGGAATTCTTGCTCGCCTGACCTAAGAATGGTCCGGACTGAAAATCCGACCTCTCCATTTATTATCAAACCTTTATTGCTAATATTTAAAACTTCCTTTTCAGTCTTTTTTCTCGAGGATAGTTTTCGTCTAATCATTTTTGAACCTTTTATATTTATTATTTTATGTTAGAAAATTGGTTTGTGTAAAACTTGACATCAGTGATTTCTCTTTTTTTATCTTTTAGCAAACTTCTGGTTTTACTTTCACTTTCTAAATACTCTTTTAGGTCCTTTTTGTTGTATCAGCAAACATCTTTTTTGGATAGTAAATATATTTCTGGCTTATCTGTACCCCCACTTATTAGACAAACTTGTTGAAGAGGATTTTCTATTTTAATTACATGTTTTTTCTCAATTTTGCTTTGGCAACCAGAGCATTTTTTTCTTTCTTCTTTAAGTTCATTAAGAGTTGGGCATTTTACGCGGTTGGCAAATGCTTCGTGATATAGTTTTTTGTTTTCTTCTTCTTTTTTGTTTAATTCTTTAGTTAATTTCTTAATTTCTTTTTCGGCTTCGGGTTTAGTTTTCTTCAGTTCTTCTAATTTGTCTTTTATTTCCTTAATTTTCTCTTTTGTTTGCTGAATTTGTTTATCATTTTTGTGACAATGGCTACAAGTTTTGTGTTTTTCTATTTCCTTTTGGTGGTCGGAACAATATTTTTGGCAATCTTTGCAGCGTTCAGTTTTTTCTTTGAATTTGTTGAACTCATTCTCTTTTTCTTGAAATTCTTGAAGCAATTGCTGGTAAGTTTCCCCACTTTTAATTAAATCCTTAACTTGTTCTTGTAAAGCAACTTCTCCAATAGTTGAGTCGACCGGAGAACTGGCAATTTTTCTTTCTAATTCTTTGGAAATTTTTGATCCTTTAATTAATTTTATTTCTTTTAGTACTTCTTTTTTGCTTTTTAATGGCAAAGTAGACTTCAGAATTTTGTCTTCTATTTTTTGCTTTTCTTCTTTCAGGTTTTGTTCTTTGTCTTCTTTTTCTTGTTCTAATTTTTCTAATTCTCCTCAATGTTTTTTACAGTAATCAGTTCTTTTTAACCGAGCAGTATCCGCCGAAATTCAATTTTTTATTGTGGCTAAAGGTCTTTTTTCACAACTGTTATCTTTTTTGATTAAAAGCAAAGTTGAATTTTTTCTTTCTTCTTCAGATTGGCTAACTAATATGTCTACCACTTGCTCACATTTGATTTGTTTTTTTAATTGCTGAACGAATAATTTAGGACTTTGGCATTTATCACATTCTTTAATTTGTTTTTGTAATTCTTTTGATACAGGACAAGTTATGCTACAAGGGGAGTTGGTTTTTTTGTGTTTAGTTAAATGACTTATAGAATTATCTTGATGTGATGAACAATACTCATTTATTTTTGTTTTTTCATCATTAATCATTGCTTCAATTTTCTTTCTTGCTCGTCGATAAGCCGAGAATTTTATATTTTTTATTTTTCCACCTTTACTTTTTCTTTTGAGAATAATTTCTATTTCTTCACTAGGATTAAATTCTTTTCCCTCGATGAGAACAGTTTTGCTAATTTCGTCATCACTCTTTACTCATTTTTTCTGACAGTCATTACATTCTTTAATTTGTTTTTGTAATTCTCGTCGTGGTAAACAATTAATACCGCAAACATGGGAAGCAGCCTTATGCTCGGCTAATTGAGTTTGGTGAAGAGAGCATTCGTCGGTCATGTTTCGTCCTAGTTTAATTATGTTTCTTCCTGATTTGCTGGCTTTTTGAAACTTTTCTCATTCTAAACATTTAATTTTTCCTTTCTTAGTAATGATTAGAAGCAACTTCTCAATTGGTTCTTCCTTCATTGGCAAAACAGAGGTAAAATATTCTTGGTTTTGAATAGTGGATTTTCCTTTGCGGGTAAAATATTCTTCGTCTAAATTAGTAATTTTGTTGGCAGCAAAAAGGTAGAAATTAAGGATATATAATTTGCCATAATTGGAAAAACATCATAGGTCATCTCGGCGGTCAAGTTTAGCAATGGCTCAGTTTTCTCCGCGAGTTTTTAATTCTTTTCCTTGGCTTGGAATGTTAGTTGGTTCTAGGGCAGTTAGGTTGTAGACAGCTAAGTAATTATTAAATTTATTTTCTTTCTTGTTTTCTGAACGGCTAAGCAAAACAATTCGGTCTTCATGAGGAATTAATTGTCTTTCCGCGATCGAGTGAACGTGCGAAGTAATGACAGTCCTCCTTTGGTCGTGAGCGTAATCTTTTTTCAATTCGGCTAATTCTTGAATTAGTTTTTGCTTTCTTTGTTCTTGCTGAGTAATTAATAACTGTTGTTGAGAGTTATTTTCTTTTAAAACATTAATATCATTTTGTAATTTTTCTCTTCTTTCGGGAGTAAATTGGCGAAAACTAGCCGGAGTGTCTAAAATACGATTAATGACTTCTTGTTCTGGATCACGAGGTTTTTCGGCTGGTAAATCAACGATTTCATCTTGGATCTCTTGCAGCTGTTCTTGTAATCCTTTTATTTCTTGAGAAAAACGCTTTTTGATTTTTTGGCTTCTTTCTTCATCGGAGGTAGCACTTTGGGCTATTTCGGCAATTTCTTGGTAATGTTCGATAATGAATCGTCGGGTTTCTAAATTCACTAAGTCTTTTTGGTTTTTATTATAAACAAATTGAGCTTTTTTTTGAATGTTTTCTAGCCTTTTTTCAATGAATCCTTGAAGAATTTCTTTCAAAGAAAATACTTTAGGTTGGTCATCAATCAAAGCTCGCATTTTGAAAGAAAATGAATCTTGTAATTTGGTTTTTTTGTATAATTGATTAAGAATTACTTCTCCATCATAGTCAGGGTCAAAACGACAATGAATGTTTACTTCTTCTTCATAACTGGAATAGTCAGCCACATTTTTTAGACCAGGAATTTTTTTATCTTTAATTATTTGATTGATATGGGTTATTAATTTAGATTTATTAACTTTAAAAGGTAGTTCAGTAATTCTGATTAGGTCTTTTTTTTCTTTCTCCTGTTTGCTAGAAGTAATTTCGGCTTTGGCTCGGATATAGATGGTTCCTTTGCCTTTGGCACCTTCACCATTTTCGTAAATTTCTTGTAATTTTTCTCGTTCTAGTACTTGTCCGCCAGTGGGAAAATCTGGTCCAAAATAACTTATTTTAATTTTGACGCTTTGACATTGAGAGCATTGGTTAACTTTCCCTCTTCCTTTTTCTTGACAATCAGAACATTCTCAACTGTTTATTAATTCTTCAGTGTTGAGGTCAGGGTTATTAATTAACTCGGTTGTTGTATCAACTATTTCCCCTAAATTATGAGGTGGAATGCTAGTACTCATTCCTACCGCAATACCACTTGAGCCATTTAATAACAAATTAAGATTAGCCGGTAAAATTTTTGGTTCTTTTTCATTTTCATCATAGTTATCAACTCATTCAACAGTTTTAAATGGCAAGTCTTCCAAAAGATAAAGTCCAAATTTGCTTAACCGGGCTTCGGTATAACGCATGGCTGCGGCCGGATCACCATCTCTTGAACCCCAGTTTCCTTGACCGTCAACCAAAGGATAGCGAAAACTAAAATCTTGAGCCATTTTGACCATTGCTTGGTAAACACTTTGGTCGCCGTGAGGATGGTATTTCCCAATTACATCACCAACTACTTTAGCTGCTTTGCGGTGAGCTTTGCTAGGTAAAAGTCCTAATTCATAAAGGGTATAGAGTATTCGGCGTTGAACTGGTTTTAAACCATCATATAATTGAGGTAAGGCTCGATCTTCTACTACGGCATAGGCATAATCCAAAAACTTAACTAATAAGGCTTGTCCGATATCTACTTTATTATCAACTACTGTTAATTGGGCATTTTTGTGTTCTCCGCTTTCTAAACGTTTTTTTCGTGGTTCACTTTTAGAACCCATTAAATCTTGAATAATTTCTTGAATGGTTGGAGGATGAGGAAAAAGTAATTCATGAAGACAGCGTTTTTTGACTGCCATAGTAGTTTCTCGTAACTGTTGCGGATTCATTTCTCCTAATCCTTTAAATCGTTGCAAACGCCCAGCAGTCCCTTTATTTTCTTGTTGGTGTTTTTCTCATTCGTAGTCGCTATAAAAATACTTGGTTTCCTTTTTAGTTTGTCAGCGGTAAAGTGGAGACACCGCCAAATATAAGCAGTGCTCTTCAATTAAATAACGAAAATAACGAACAAAAAAAGTTAAAGCCAAGCACTCGATGTGTTTTCCATCGGCATCAGCGTCCGTCATAATCACTATTTTTCCGTAGCGGAGTTTTTTTAATAAACCATGTTTAGTTTTTTCCACTATAGTTTTTACTTGTTCCAAACTAAGCGTAGTGTGAGCCGGAATTATTTGCTCTTGCTCTGTATCATCTTGGTAAACAAATTCTTCAGGTATTTCTAATTCCTCTTCGTTAATGCCAGTTTCTAATTTGGTTTGAAAACGATTATAATAGTTCTGAGTGGCTTCGCTAACACTGAATCCCAAAGCATTAATTAAACTTTTAACTTCTTCATTTTCCAAGATTTTGGTTCGCTCGGCTTTTTCGACATTAATAATTTTTCCTTGGACTGGTAAAACGGCTTGGTTATTAGGGTCACGAGCTAGTTTGGCACTACCACCAGCGGATTGTCCTTCCACAATAAACAACTCATTGCCGGCGGCTTCTTTAGAAATACAAGGGGCTAATTTACCGGGCAAAACTGCTCCTCGGCTACTTTCACGAAGGGACTTTTGATATTCTTCGGATTTGGCTCGATTTTGGGCAGTAATAATAATTTTGTTACTAATGGCTTCGGCACTGTTGCCGTGGTCTTGAAGGAATTTTTTAACCAAATCGTAAGTAATGTTTTTAACTACTTCTCGCACAGAAGTCATTGCTAAACGATATTTAGTTTGACCGGAAAATTGGGGATCTTTCACCCGAATAGACAAAACAGCAGTTAACCCTTCTAAAATGTCGTCGGCTTTTATACTTAATTTTAGATTGTCATATTTTTCTTTAATTCAATCTCGACAAGCGCTAATTAAGCCATTTTCAAAGCCGTCCATGTGGCTTCCTCCGCCTCCAGTGCTAATATTATTACAAAAAGTTTTAATTTGGTTCTTTTTTTGTTCTTGGTTATACTGAAAAGCAAAATTTAAATAAAAATATTCTTTTTGATAATTTCCTTCTTCGTCTTTTCTTATGGGGACTGAACCAGTTCATTCTTCGGTGCAAACTTCGGTATTTTCTAAATAATTCTCTTGATTTATTTCTTTTACTCAACCAGCTAAGCCACTACTAAAATGATAAGTAATTGGTGCAGCATCAGGAGAAGGATAAAAAATTAAAGTTAAATTAGGATTAAGATAAGCCAAATCTTTTAAACGATTTTGAATAGTATCAATTTTGAAATAAGTAAACTCAGGAAAAATTTTTGGATCAGGAGTAAAAGTAACCGTAATTCCACTATGTCTTCCCGGAGTATCAATGATTTGTGAATTTATTAAATCGCCTTCTCGGAATTCAACTATGCCTGTTTTGTCTTTTTCCTTACAATTTTTACATTCTTTAATTTGTTTTCTTAATTCTTCTAATTGCTGGCGACATTCTACACTACCACAAGGGTGATTATCATCTTCGTGTTTTACTCATTGAGCTTGGTGAAGAGAACATTTTTCAATTACTTTTCGGCTGCTTTCGGCTCGCAGATGGGCAGACAAGGCGTTAACGGCAGTTACTCCTATTCCGTGTAATCCTCCTGAAGTTTTGTAGACTTTGCTTTTCAGTTTACCGCCAGCATGAAGAATGGTAAAAATAGTTTCTAAAGAGTTTTTTTTGATGATGAGATGTTTTTCAATTGGAGCACCACGACCATCATCTTCGACAGTGATTGTTTTTTGGTCAGCGGAAAGGGTTATTTTAATTTGGCTACAATAACCGGCCACTGCTTCATCAATTGAGTTATCAATTACTTCTTGAAAAAGATGGTGTCAACCTTGTTCATCAGTCGAACCAATATACATCGCTGGATAATTTCTGACTGATTCAATATCTCCTTTCGGAACTTGAATACTTTCAGCTTCATAATCAATTTCTTGTTCTTCTAGGGGGAGTTTTTTATTATCCATGGCTTATAATAATTTTTACAATTTCTCAACTAAATTTGAGCGTGTTTATTAACCAAATTGAAAAAATCCAAAAATCTTAATATATACTCTCAGCAAAATCAATCAAACCAACCAAGAGGACTTACACCACTTTTTCCAATCTGTCTACCATGATTTCAATGTTTAAATGTCATACAATCAAAGATAAAAACCGTGTAGAAGGCTTAAAGTTCTCATATTTAAGCAAACATACTTTGCTATTTTTTTTAATTTGTTAACATTCTCTCCTAAAGTGTTATCGTTTGATAAAGGAAAATTATTTGCTTTTTTTATTCATTCCTAGATTTTACTAAAATTTATTAAACTATGCTTTATTCTTCTCTAAGCACTAAAAAAAAATCAGCTGTTATTGCTCTCAGCGGTGGAGTAGATTCTGCTGTAGCTGCTTATCTTCTCAAAGAACAAGGTTATCAATTAATTGCGGTTTTTATGCAAAATTGAGATGATTATTTAAATGCTAGCCCTAGCCAAGAAATAATTTGCTCCCAAGGGCAAGATTGACAAGATGCTCAACAAGTAGCTCGGCAATTGAATATCCCCATTTACAAAGTTAGTTTTTTACAAGAATATTGAAATAAAGTTTTTTTGAATTTTTTACAGGACTTAAAACAAGGACTAACTCCTAACCCTGATATTTTGTGTAATAGTTCAATTAAATTTTTGGCATTGGTAGATTATGTTCAAAAGCATTTCAACCCTGATTTTCTGGCTACCGGACATTATGCAAAAATTATTGCTGGTGAAAACCAAGAAAAGTATTATTTAGGCAAGGTTAAAGACCAAAACAAAGACCAAACTTATTTCCTTTGCCAAATACCACGAGTTGTTTTCCCAAAATTAATTTTTCCTTTGGCTGACTTGACTAAGCCCGAAGTTCGCCAAATCGCCGAAAAAATGAAACTAATTAATGCTAAAAAAAAGGATTCAACCGGAATTTGTTTTATTGGTGAACGAAATTTTGATAAGTTTTTGGCTAATTACTTACCCCCAAAAGAAGGAAATATAATTGATATTGACAGTGGGAAAATTAAAGGCAAACATCAGGGAAACTATTATTTCACAATCGGACAAAGACATGGTATTGGTTTACAAGGAGAAAAAGAACCTTATTATGTGGTAGGCAAAGATATAAAAGAAAATTTAATTTATATAGCCAAAAATTGAAAAAATCCTTGATTGTATAGCAGTTGTTGCTGAGTGAAAAATATTAATTGATTGGTTGAAGAAAAAGAATTAACTAACTTCTTTAATAGCCAAAAAATAACTGCCAAGTTTCGTTATCGACAACCAGAAGTTTCTGTAAAATTGTTTTCTGCCGAAAATAAAAATGAAGTAAAGGTAGAATTTAAGGAAAAACAAAGGGCGATCACCCCCGGACAGTATGCCGTTTTTTATTGCCGAAGTATCTGCTTAGGCGGAGGAGTAATTTGAACCACCGAGCAACTAAATAACCATGGTAAGCCAGTTAATTTGCAGCCGGCTAAAATACAATTTCTGAAAAGACGACAAAGTTAAATACTAAAAATAAACACTATGATTAAAGAAACTAAAAACAGATCCAAATTAACTACTTGGTGATCCCTTTGCTTAGACTAAAAATTATGAATAAAAAAATTGTTATCACTCCTGAAAGTTATTTAATTCTCAAAAAAAAAATAGCTCGCTTAGAAAAAACCAAAGTCGAAATTGCTGAAAGATTAAGTTTGTCTAGCCTTGATTCTGATCTTTCCGAAAACGGTGATTTTATAACTTTGCTAGGAAATTTAGAAGAAACCGAAAAAAATATTACAAAATTAAACCTATTATTAGCAAATGTTGAATTTTGCCAAAAAACTAATAGTAAAGAATTGGTAGGATTAGGAAGTCTAATTACTTACAAAATATTAAACACTGGAGAAAAAAAAAAAGTGGAAATAACTGATGCAATTGAAGCAAATCCGCCGCAAAAAATTTCCGCAAACAGCCCTTTAGGTGCCAATTTATTGGGAAAAAAAGTTGGTGACATTGTTGAAAATCAAGGAAAAAATAAATACCGAATCCAAATTTTGGCGATTAAGTAAAAATTATAATAAAGTGGAATCAAAAATTGAATTAAAAGAAAACCGAAATGGTCTTTTGTGACCTTATTATCAAGGAGAAAAAGCTTGAAGTCCGAGTTCTTTGGTAGAAATTTTGAAATTGATCGAATATGAAGACAAACAAATACCAGAAATTGTGCTTCAAAGAGCCGCTAAAAATGGCAAATTATTTCATCAAATTATTCAAGAATTTATCCAAACCGGAGCAAACCTAACCCAAGGATCAGAAATTAGCCCAAAAATCCAAAAAAAACTTCAAGAGACCATGTATTTTCTCGAAAAAAATAAAAAACTTTTAAGCAATCATTGTTTTTTAGGCAGTGAAAGACTTCACCATTCTTTCTACAAGGGAGTGTTGGTTGCTACCTATATTGATTTAGAATTTGCTGATTGCGTAGTAGAATTGAAAACTAATAATATTAAAATGCATGAAAGTCCTTTAACTCTCTTGGCTTTTCAAATTCAATTATTGATTCAACATTTGTGTACCAAAAAAGAAGTTTATTTACTTTGAAGCACTGGCAATGGCGTAATTTTTCACCGCTTTCAGGCTAGTCCAAGTCTATTCAGGATTCTTGACGAATTAATTGACTTAGTAAAAAAAAAAGACACTTATACTATATTAGAAAAAAGAGCTATTGTGGAAAAAATCTTAATTGATTATGTTCCTCACCGATTGATTGATTTTGACTAATAAATTTTGTCTTTTTTGGTGATTATGTCAATGTGTTCTTAGGCGTCATTAGTCATAAGAATTATTTTCAAAACTTCTTTAATTCTTGGTATTCGGGAGAAATTTCGATTAATTTGGATAGCAAATGATTCAAATTTTATAAATTTTTTTTATTTTCTATAAACCGACGGTGTTCATGTTAACCAAAAAAAAAAAAATCAAATTAGTCCATTTTGAAAAATCCGAGAGAAGCATGAAAATAAAGAACTATTTTTTGAGAAAAGGACATAAATATCAATAAAGGGAACCACTATTCCCCAATATTAAATTTAGCCTTGAATGTTAGTTAACAAAAACTAGTTAGTCAAAATTAATTGCTCGGTCTGCTCAATTTCCTTGAAACTTTGAAATTCACTAAAAAGGCAAAAAGTAAGGAAATTAACTTCTCTTCGGAGATGTTGATTCTTTCCAGTAGGATTTAAACGGCGAGGTAAAAAGTCAATAAATTCAATAATTTTTTTAATTTTTTCACTGAACTCTCTTAAAATATCTTCGTGTTCATGCTTATTTATCTCTTTTTCTAAATATTCTTTTTTGAGAAAATGCGGGGTAATTTGGAGAAATCCATAGTCTCCCAAAATAATTAGTTTTTTAACTTGAGTAGGTATATCAGGTTTACTGCTAGTTATATTTGCTTCGCTAAGTAGCTTTTGGTAATAATAAAACTGCTTAAAATCAGCGGCTTGTTTGGTGATATTATCAACATCATTCCAAAAGCCATTATATTCACCAATTCTATTAAAAATGACGGTGCGAATGAATCAAAATAAAACTATTCAATGAATAAAACTGCTTAACTCTGCCAGAGAATCAAAAATGACTTTAGCTAAAGGCACTGAATTAACTAAATTTCTAACCAAATTTCCTAGTTTGGAAAAACTGTCTTGACTGGCTTGTTGATTAATTTGTTGCCGAGCAACTTCAACTCGGTCATAAATAAAAGGCAACAAAAGAATAACTGCTGTGGAACAAAATACTATTTTACGAACGCAAGGGTCTTGCCAAACTAGAAAATTCTCCGTCAGCGGTTCATTAAGTTTTTTTGATGAAAGCCAAGTATAAAGAGAAATAAAAAGCAAAATTAAAATTAAAGTTTGGGCACTAATAAAACAAAGAGTAAGCACCACATAACTAGCAATTCGGGCTAAACTATTAAGGAAAAATATTCCACTATTGTAAAGGTAGAATTTATTATTTTCAATATATTTGTCTCGCAATTTTAAAGCTAAGTTAATTGAAACAACCATAATATTTAACAGAATAATTATTCAGATAAAAACCAAAGCATAGAACAATAAAATTTGCCGGTCAGTTAAGTTTTCCCCTAAAAAAAATTTGTGTAGGCTTTGTCCTTGGCTTCTGGTTAATTTTTGATAAATCTCTCCGAAAATGTCTTGAGAAATGTATTCTTTATTGCCAAAAAATCCTCCACAAAAGGCTAAACCAATTCCCAAAATGGCTCAACCTAAGACTTTTCAAGCTAATTGAGAAAGAAAAGACTGAATAATTAACTTATTCCGCAAGCGGGTTTTTTTCTTTATCGAAAGCATAATATATTTTTTTGTATAATTATCAGTTAAATCAAATAATTAGAAAACTTCTGGAAAAACTTCCTCGATAGCTTGGAGAATAATTTCTTTCTTTTCCTGAGGAGAAATATTGTACCTTTCAGCAGCAATTCGTAAACAAGTAACCAAAATATAAATCTCTAATTCAGCCCTTAATAAATGGTTATCAATTTTTTTTAATCCTTTGGCTAAAAAGTCAATTTGGCTCTTTTGCTCCTTGATTAATTTTAGCATTTCAAAATTTAATTTGTTCATTTTTATAAGTGATTTTTACTGCTTTTTGTTTTTTCTCCTTAACAATCAATAAATCCCTAATCCTAATAAAACAATTCCGGCTCCACTAGCAATTAGTAAATAAGTACTGGGCTGCTTTCAAATGCTCTCTCTTTCTTTCTGAGCGTGTGTGTAATTTTGGGTTTTTTGATATACTTATTGGGGTTTCTTAGTTTTTCGGCAATTCTTTCATTTTCTTTCATTTGGTGGATAGTAGTTAGGATTAATTCTCCCATTTGGTTTCAGGTTTCTTGGTCTACTTTTTGGATTTGGGTATCATTGGGAATACTCTTTTTGGGTTTGATAATGATATGGGCTTGACAGCGAGCTTCATCTTTTGGAAACAATCTAGCAATCGCTTTGTCATTTTCTCTAATTACTCCTTCTGAATTAGCATTCAACCTTTTAACGGATTCTTGGTAAGCTTTCTCTCGGTGTTCGCCAGGCAATAACTCATGTTTCTCTTTTGATCAGCAGGGTCCGTAATTTTTCTTGTATTTAGGCACTATATGAAGATGAAAGTGTTCTTTACTTTCGTCTCCAGCACAAATATAGAGCAAGTAGCCTATTGGTTGGTACACTTTACTAATACGACTAATAGCATCTTTAGCAATGGGCAATAATGCTTTTCATTCTTCTAAAGTGAGTTCAAAAATAAGTTTACAATGAGTTTTGGTCACAACAAGAGAAGCTGCCTTAGAAATGGGAGATCTATTAGTAAAAGCAATGTGATTTTCATTTTCGCAAATGATTTTTCTCTCCTGATTATAGTCACAATTATTCATAATAAGTTAATTTTAATCAATATCTTTAAATTTACTCGTTCTAACTTTTTCTGATTTATTTTGTTTGATTTTTGGTTTAAATCAACTTTTAATTTTGAGAACATTTCAAGTTATTAATGCATCATTGTTCCACATTTCTCACAATATATAGTTTCGTGTTTCTTTTTTCAACAAAGTCGGCAGGTCAAACATTTTGAAATAGACCTTTTTAGAGTTTTAATTCATTAAACTGCTCGTAAAGAGGACATTCTCTAAATTACCAACGTTTACTAAATGGCACCCTCAGCAAAATGTTTAAATTTCCTTATAATCATATCCCACAAGAATAAAATTCTGCAAAAAACCTCGCAGTTTCAATAAAGCATGAAAAATGAAACATAAACAAAAGCAAAGATTACATAAAATCCTAATTATAGAAAAAATATGAATGAACAGCAACTAGAAAATATAAATGAGGCGTTAATGAATCAGCCTAATATCAAACAAATAATCAGAGATTACAAGTTTGTTTTTCCTTGTCCTCATTGTGAAAAAGTAATTAATGACGATCATTTTAACAAAGAACACAAAGCATTTAATTATATTAGTGAACAAGTAAGAGAATTAATGGAAAAACATTTTTTTTCTCAAGAAAATGAATATAGAAAAAAATGACTCAAAGAATTAGAAACCAATCGAACTTATGAAAATCTTCCAGCGGTGAAAGAATTAAAAGAAAATTTAGAAAAACAAACCAAAAGAATTGCTGAATTACAATCTTCTGAATATGTTGAAAGTTTAGAAAGAGTGAAAAAATTAGTGATAGAAAACCAAGAATTAAGACAACAGAATCAGAACTTTTTATTAGCCCAAAATCGACCCATTAAACGCAAAGGAGAATTATTTGAACAATATGTGGCCGAGGAATTGAGCCGTGTTTTTGATGACAAAGATAAAATCAGTAAATTAACTCAGTTAGGAAAAAAAGCAGACTTCCTCCAAGAAGTATTAACCGAAACCGAGCCTCGTCAAGTGGCTGGTCGAATAGTTTATGAAACCAAAGATACGGAAAAATGAGAAAATGACTGAGTAAATAAATTAGAAAACGATATGGCAAAATTAAAAGCCGATTTTGGAATTATCATTGCTGCTTGTGAAAATGGCAAGCCTTTACGTTGTCTTGACCCTCGTAAAAAAATCTATGTTAGTGATGAAACTAATTTTATTTATGTTGCTAAAATAATGCGTGATTCTTTAATTCAAAAGCATAATTTACTAGAAAATGTTAACTCTGACAAAGAAAAACGCCTCAAAAATTTAGATGAATGAATAAGCGAAACTTTGCCTCAATATTTCTTACGCTTAGAAAAAGAACTGATTGATTTAAATAAAAATGCTAATAGTATCAGCCGAGCCGCTGAAAGCATTAAAAACTTAGAAATTAACATCCGTAAAATAATTTTAGAGGAAGTAAGGACAGAACTAAGTAATCTTTAAAAATAACCCAGGTGTAATTTTTTTTATTAATTTCTCGGGAGTTGTTAACCGCAAATTACTTTGCTTTCTTTAAAATTCTCTTTAATGGATCAAGCCATCGTAGTCAACCATCCAGCCAACATCTCCGACCCATTGTGTCTTCGGCAGGTTTATTTTTAGGTTTAATTTACTCCGTAAATTAGTTTGGGTTGATAGTTTGGCATGGCTAGTTTTTGGCAGAGTAGAAATCAATTATTTGCTTGTTGGTCATCCATTTTTTGTATTGAAAGACTAAATTTTGCCCTAAGAGAGCTAATTTAGTGATTTGGTTTCATTTGTCCTCGGGCAAGTCTTCTTTTCTCGCTTGGAGAGTTTCCTGGGAGGTGAGTTTAAGGTCATAGTCTACTTGCCCTTTTCTTTTGCCGGTCTTGCGAATTCTTTCTGAGATTTGAGAGACTGAGCCAATTAAAGAATGGGTGGTGTAGTTTTGTTCTTCGGGTTCTGAATAGTAAGAATTAACCTTCTTCACTAGTTCCTGAAAGAGATTGTGATTTAATTCATTATTGGGCTTACCTAACTTTTTGGTTAGTAAGCTTTCTATTTCGGGTTTTTGCTTGCCCGATAATTGGCTTCAAAAGTTATTCATAATAAGGATTTTAAGCCTTTTATAATAACCGTCCTAAGTCTCGTATTTTAATATATCATTCTCGTGTGCTTTCGTGTGTGAATGATATATTATTGATATATTAAAAAAGTGAAAAAGTGGTAAAATTACTATATAAAAGTATATTTGGTTTCTACACAACCTCATTTGGCAAGCAAAAGCCAATCATCGGTAGCCAACACTTAGTTTTTTTTGTATTGTTTATTATAAACTAACTGTTGGTCTTTCGTGGCTGATTTTACAGCTATCCATACCGGATCGGGAAGTTCCTAGTTAGGTGTGAAAAACTAACTAGTTTAAGAAGCAGTTGGTTACTTAGCCTTCTGTCTTTGAACTGCCTAGTCTCTTATTTTGCTTGCGTTTTTTAAAGACACAAACAACAGAGTAATTAAATCTCTGTGTTATACTGATTAACTTTTTCGCTAATGGGTATAACAAAGAGGTTAATTTCTATAATGTTTTTTATGACAAACGTTTAGCAAATATTTTAAAAATGTTATTATGGAAAATATACGAACATTTAGCATTAATCTGCCTTTTCCTTTGTATGAGAAGATATTAAAAAAAGCCGGAAAGAGAAAGGTCAGTTTTTTTATCAGAAAGGTGTTGGAGGAAAAAATGGGTGAGGAAAACGAATTAGCCCAGGCTTACCGCCAAGCCTACGCTGATAATTCTCCTTTTTTGAAAGAAGCCGTCCAATGGGAAAAAGCCCAAAATGAGGACTGGATAAATTGAGAACAAAAGAAAAGGAGCCAAAAAAACTAAATGGCGATGAAACTGATCCGTCGTGGAGAAGTTTATTGAGTAAATTTGCCTTTACCTGATGAGAAAGAAAAAGAGAATATTCGTGAATTACAAGGTAGACATCCAGGATTAGTTATTTCTAATAACGAACAAAACAAGCATAGCCCACTAATAACTATTTTGCCAATTACTTCCTTAAAAGAGGGTGACGAGCCTTATCCTTTCCAAGTGGCTAGTTATTTTCAAAGTAAAAATGGCGTGATTTTGGTCGACCAAATTCGCACTATTGACCGCAAAAGATTTGGTGAACGAGTAGGAGAAGCAAGTGAGGAGATGATGGAGAGAATTGAAAAGGCTTTACATCTTATTTTGGCTTTGAAAAAATAAAATTGAAACTTTTCACAAGTTTTTTATCTTGACGACCAAAATCAGCACAAAATCCATCAAAAGTTAGTTCAGTCTAAAATCCCCCTATAAATCTACCAATCTACAAAAATAATTAAGTATAATGAACCAAAAAACAAAACCTCTTCCGCAAGAAACCAACCAAATCAAACAACTTAACTTCAAAGTCTCCGCAGACTTTTACTGAAATCTAAAAAACTTTGCCACCTTAGAAGAACAGTTGAATGCCAAAAGCCCGAAAAAGAATTACCTTTGGGTTTATGCTATTTTGGCTTTGATTGCTCTTTATTTTCTGATGAGTTAGTATGAATAAAGCCCAAGTATTAATTCTCCTGATCCTGATTACCTTGGCAGTGTATTATTTTAGCCAAACCGAGAAAAAATCCCAAAAGCCCAGTAATCAGTCCACTTTGCCACCTTTCCAACCCAGCATCCTGCCCACCAAGCCACCGGTGATTAATTGCCCTCCTGCCCGAATTATTGCGAGAAACGACCAGTCTACAACCCCTATTATGCCCCTAAATACCCCAGAGCCTGTTTACCACTTCCCGAGTGCTGAATTTAGAGAAATTAGCCCCGACGAACAATACCGCCAAACACTGCTTGGTCTTTGTGAGGATTGGCTAGAAAGCTTTAATAATCCCCAGCAAAAAAGCAAAGTAACCCAAGTAATTAGCCTCTTACAAGTCGAAAACAAGGATCGTTGGGAATACCTCCAAGCCATTTGAAGTTTAAGAGCCATGGAAGGCTTTGAGTTTTATTGCGAGCAGAGCTTTAGAGAATGAGTGAATTTGCCGGTAGAACCTAAGCCTACTGATGAGCCTGTGGACACGGGCTGATTAACTGATGATAATTTAGAGTTTATTTTGCGGAATAGTCCAAGGATACAAGGGGCTTTAAAGCAAAAAAACCAAGCTGGTAAGGTTTTCCATTTAAGGACGGATATTGCTAATGTTTATAACTGCTATTATAAGGCTAAGAATAAGCAAACTTGGGATTTAGCTGAATTTTTGCAGGAGTTGGAGTGAAATAAAGCTCAGTACACACTGTTTCCTTTGCGAGTATCCGGGAACCATTGAGGGCTGTTTATTTTGGCAGAAAGAGAGGAAGAAACGACCAAGGCAAAGCCTGCTTCTGACCCGAATATGGTTTATTTACCTTCGGCTGAGCAGGTGGAGTTGGTTAGGGAGGTTTATTATACTTCCTCTGGCGGGGCTAATTTAGAGGTAGAGAAAGCCCAATTACAGCCTTTTATTGAGCAAATTTGCGGAGAGGGAATTCCCATCCAAATTATCCAGCCTGCTGACCGGGAAAGTAAAGGTTATGAGTGTGGAGTTTATTTGGTGAAGTATTTGGAGGAGGTGTTGGAGAGTGGGAATTTGGAGTTGAAACGGCAATATACGGCAGAGGAATGCCAAGAGTTTCGCTGAGAATGAAAGAAGAGGATTGGGGAGGGGTGGTGTCGGTGGGATTAAACTCTAAAAAACGTAATAATGATTAAAACTTTTGCTGATAAACACACGGAAACACTTTTTAATAATAAACTTGTCCTTAAATGAAAAAATATTGAAAAGGTTGCTAAAAGAAAATTAGACCAACTAAACAAAGCAAAAAAACTACTAGAATTAACTTTCCCTCCTCGCAACCATTTAGAAGCATTACGGGGTAATTGGAAAGGCTATTATAGCATTCGAATCAACAAGCAGTATCGCGTTTGCTTCATTTGAGAAAAAGGACACGCTTACGAAGTAGAAATAAATAAACATTATGACTAAAATTTAAATATCATGACTAGAAATCCCATTATTCATCATCCCGGAAAAATCCTGAAAGAAGAGTTTTTAACTCTTGCCCAAATTAGCCCTTCTCAATTAGCCAAAGATATCGGTGTTTCAAGCAAAAAAATCAAAGAAATAATTGCCGAAGAAAAAGATCTTAATAAAAACATTGCCACCCGCTTAGCTTTATATTTTTCCACTGCCCCGACTTTTTGAATAAATCTACAGAGTAATTATGATGAAGAACAAGTAGAGAAATTATTGCATAAAAGTTTAAGGAAAGAAATTCAGCCTTTGGCTTATTTTAAATAAATTACTTGTTTACTTTGAATTTAACTTTTCTTTTTTGCCCTTGCCCTCTTGCTACCTTGTAAAGAAAAACCTAAAAAAATATGAAAAGAAAATTAATAACTATACAACAAACTTACTCTAACGGAGGAAGAGAATAATTATGGGAAAGAAAACACCAAATAAACGAAACATTGCTCAGCCAAAAAAACTAACTGGCGGAGGAGGAATTGGCGGAATAGGTTCATTAACTAACCTTACTAGTGCCCAAGACATAAAAAACAGTTTTTGAATTAATGCTGCCAGTCGCCGTCAAGCTGGTGATAAATCTCATGGTGATGCTACCTACTGAACCGAAGGTCGCTGTAATTGAGGAGGCAACCATAATTTAATGGAAGATTGCCAAACTTTAGCCAATTGAGCTAATAATATTGTAAGTGTAGAAACTGATACTCAAGAACTAACTTTAGCACTGAACGAACAAGAATTTAATCTGAAAAAGCAACAGTTAGTAAGCAAAATTCAAGATGCTATCAGCAAATGTCAAGTATCGAGTGCTTGGTCAATTGGGAACATCTGTTGTATTTGAAATGACTACTTTGGTCCTTTCGTGGTTCCCTACGTAGGAGGACTAAAGAAAAAAATGCAAAACCACCTTGATGGATTACAGGCAGTGCAACCTATTCACCAAAAAGAAATTTTAGAATTAGAGGCTGAACTCAGAGAAGCAGAAACTAAATACAATGATGCGATGGCTAACGCAGCAAAAGAAACTGATCCAGCCAAAAAAGCTCAATTTATCGCCATTGCCCAAGAAGCCGCCAACACAATTAAACAAGTTAAAGCTAAATTAACGAAAAATCCCTTATCTAAACTAACTGAATACAGTTATTTAAATGATATTGGCAGAATGCTAGGAGGTAATCTCCCTAATAATCCACCTACTGTGCCAGGAAATGGTTCAGGAGGCTCGGGTTCTGGTGATGGTGGTTCAGGAAATGATCCAAATGGAGGCGGCGGAGGTTCTGGTTGAACTCCCTGAGGAGGTAGCTCAGGAGGAACAACTGGTAGCCAGCAACCAAACCAACAACAATTAATCTTAATAGCAGTAGCTGCGTTAGTGGTTATCTTCCTTCTCATGAGCCAAAAAGATAGTTCGCCTAGACGCAGTAGATACGATGATTATTACTAAAACTTATGATTAACCAATTCAATCCCAATGAGTTTAAACAGAAGCTTGGTGAACAAACCCAAAAGCTGGAAAATAAAGCCAGCGAACTCTGAACTGATTTTAGCCCCCATTATACCAATCTAGAGCCATGACAACGTGGTTTAATTTTAATTGGTATTGTTGCTCTCCTTGCCTTTGCCACCTATTACCTCACCCACGAAAACCAAAACAAATCCGCCATCAGAAAAGCCCAAGCAGAAGCCGCCTTAGAAGACAAAATCATCCGTAAAATGGAGCTGTTGAAGAAATTAAGAGAATAAACCACCATGTATTACGAAGAAAACCCCAACCCACAGGCTCTCCAAAGCCAAAAAAGAAAACAACAGCAAAAGAAAATCTTATTAGTTCTTCTCCTTTTAGCTGCCGGTACTTATTATTACTTTATGGTTTACCTACCTGAGCAAAAAATCAAAGCCTTAGAAGACGAACTCCAAGGTCAACTTGACCGGGTAAAAAATGCCAAGCAGGACGATTGTCCCGAAATGTTAGCTACTCTTGCTAAATATCAGCAGTGAGCTAATGGCACACCTGAACAACAAGCCGCTTTAACTAACAAACAAAATGAACTAAACGAAGCTATTAAATGATTACAAGCCAACCAAAAAACCCCTGAACAGTTAGAAAAAGAACTAGAAGACCAAAACTTTTTAAAAGGAGCCATTTGAAAACTTCCTGCCCACAGTTGAGCCGATAAAGAAGTAAGGAAAATTTCTAACGTTCTGGTTGGTCGCTACAATGAAGATGCTAAATCATTCCCTGATGGAGACCAAAATAAAGATTTCCATTTTTCCCGAGCAGGTGGCTACGATATTTATTTTCCTCCTTCTCTCAAAGAATTCTATGAAATGGGAGAAAAAGCCAATCAGAGTTGTAAGATATTAGCCGAGAGAGAAGAATTAATCTGATCAAGTGAAATCCAAGCCTGATATAATCAAGTAATGAGCGAAAAGCCGCCTTGAAGAGGTAAACCCAATCCAGCTACCAAGAAAGACAACAACGCTATTTTCTTTGGTGCCCCAGGAACCGGCAAAACAGCCACAGTGAAAAAAATCTGTATCGAAGCTGACGAATGCCCTTTGGTAATACTTAAAGGCTCATCCTTAACTCCTACTAAGCAAGATTATGATGCCGGTATTGCTCCTTTGCAGAAATTTGTTTACACTATCAGTGAACTGGAATGGAAACTAGTCAAAACTTATGGATTTGAACGAGAAACGAACGGAGAAATCCGCTATATTCTCTTTGTTGATGAATGCGACCAAATTAGCAATAACTCTTTAATCCACGATCCAAATAAACTAAGATTTTTAAAAGAACTTTTAGAAGGCAGTGAATCCAGTCGGAAAGAAGAAACTCAAAATCTCTGAATTTTTGCTACCAATCATTTGGAAGATGTTGAAAATGCCACCTATCGAGAAGGAAGATTGAGTAACCCGCTAGATTTCAGTTGAACCTGGGGAGAATTTAAGAAATATTTTGATGATGCCGGAAAAAATCCTCAAAAATATAAACTCCCTAGTGGCTTTAATATCCCGTCTTTACCTCAACGTTGACGAGAAAACGATACTCTAAACGAAGAAGACAATAAGTTAGTTAATAAATTCAATAAGTTTTCTTTTGTCGGTGATTTTTTGGGACATAATCCAGATAAATCTGATAGAGCCAGATTCTGAGAAAAGTTTATTAGCAATAATCCTGATGGCATCCTTAAAGAAGAAATAGAAGCAGAAGACGAAAATGGTAATAAGTCAACCGAAACGGAAGAAACCGAAATTGAAATTGGCGAATTCTTGCAGTTTTTTTGGCAAACGAAAGAAAGTGGACAACTAGCTAACTATGATGGCGGTTTTGAATCTCCCCGGATACCAAAAGAAGCCGAAGTATTAAATGACAATCTGCCAAACTTAGGCGGAATAGTTGACATGTTAGCACAATCTTCCAATGCTTTAAACACTAATTTAGAAAATTTGGGACAAAGAGTTGAGGGTTTGCAGCAACAAATTCAAACAGCAGCTATGAATAGCCAAAATAGTAACACTCAAGCCGAAATCCAACAATTAAAACAAGCAGTAGCTGACCTAGCCCGAGAAATGAACCGAAGAAATTAAAAAAATTATGAATGAACAATTAAACCAAAAAATCCAAACAATCGAACAAAGCCTCCAAGACACCAAAGCTATCCTTAAATCCTGAGCCAAACAGATTGGTGAATACCATAAATCCCTTAAAGAACTCATCAGCCAACTTGCTACTCTAAAAGAACGATTAAATGCGAATATGAAAAACAACAAAGATACAACTAAAACCCAAGGAGGCACCAAATAACCATGAGTTTCCTTGATTGAATTAAAGACAATGTCGGAACAGTTATTTTGACCGCTGGTGCTGCCGTCCTCACCGGCGGAGCTAGCATTGGCATCCAAGCCGCCTGTATCGGAGGAGCATTTTTAGTCGGTGCTTCTATTGATGCTGACAAAAAAAAGCGAGAAAACGAAAACAAGCAACTAAATCTCAAAAGCGAAGTTTCCAAAGAAATTAGGGATGAAATCAATAATTTGCAAGACGAAAGAAGTCAATTAGCCAGCCAGCAAAACACTATTGACCAACAAGTCGCTCAAAAGCAAAATAGATTGAATGACCCTAACGTTTCTGAACACGAAAAAGCCCAAATTAGAAGCGAAATAGCCGCTTTGATGTCAAGTAGAAGCAGTGTGGAACAGCAAATCAAAAGTTTAGACGATAAAATTAATGCTTTACTCAAGAATGCCCAACAGACAATCACTGGTGGAGGTGGATTAGCCAACCTAGAAATAGATTATCAAACCAAGTTAATTATTGCTGCTGTCGTGTTTTTGGTTATTTATTTTTTGCTGATTAAGGATAAAGATAGGTAGAAAAGCTTTGCTAGCGGGCTTTTTTTCTTGCCCGAAAAATTAGAAAGATGATCAAAGAAATTAACCCTGCCCCTACTATTCCACAGAAAATATAAAGCAATAGATTAGAGTTGTTTTTGCTCTGTTGCTCAGCAGATGGGCTATTAATTCCATCGCTCACTGCTGATTTGAGATAGGAGACAACAGGAAGCCCATCGGATTTTCTTTTTTTAATCTCCGTTTTAATCTTCTCTGTGCCTTGCCTACAAGCCCAAAGGTCAGCACAAATTTTCGAGCAGAAATATTTATTATATTCGCTATCATAATGGATTTTTTCCATGGTTAGCCCTTGATTACATTTAGGACAGTTTTCTTGGCTTTTTTGATTATTTTTTAAAGTTTGCGGAGGACTTTGCTTTCCATAATAATTATCGCAACATTCTTCTGAACAAAACTCTAAATTATCATTAGCCTTATCTTCAAATCATACTCATTCACCAGTTAGTGGTTGATGACATTGGGGACAATTATTTTGTTCCTGATTTAAGCTTTCTCTAATTTGTTTAATTTCTGCTATTTTTTGTTGAACATAATTTTCTAACTCTTCTCTAGCTTGGGCTGCTTCTAATTCTTCATAAGTGAAATTGGGAACTTTCAAGTTCTTTCTTTCCAGAATTAAGCTGTTGTAGGCTAAAATTATTTGATTTTTCTTTAAAAGATGAGTATCGCAACACTCTTGAGAGCAATATTTGTAAGTTAGGTTCTTTCTTTCGTCATAAGCATGTCAATATTTGCCTTGAAAGGTTTGGTTACAGTTGGTGCAAATTATCTTTGGATCTCTCTCTCTCTCTCTCTCTCTCTCTCTCTCTCTCTCTCTGCTTATTTTTTGTTTGTTGCTTGTCATTTATTTTTTTTAATTTTTCAAGATGATTATTCAAGCAATCACTATCACAAAATACTGTTTTAACCCCAGTAACTGAATTAGTTTCATAAACATAAGCATTAACTAAATTCTTCCTTTTACAATAAGCACACTGAGTGGCTTTTAATTGCTTAAATGCTTCCGTTTCAATGGTTCTTAACTCGCTAACCAACTGGGCATATTCATTTAAATTTTGATTACAACCACTTATTTCTCAGAGTTTGCCATTGTTATAATGACCAGAGGCTAAGTTGTATTTGGTGGAATGACCGGAAAGAGTAATATTGGTTTGGTTGTATTTTTCTTCGAAGTCGATGATTTGTTTGATGGTTTCTAAGTCTTTTTTTAGTTCATTTAAGCCTTGAACATAATGGTTGAATAGGTTTAGGTGTTTTTGTTGTTTTTCTTTATTTGTCATGCTATGTTAGGTATCAAGATCTTTTCCTATCTCCTTTCACTGCTGATAAAACTCGAAACTTTTGTTGATATAGTGGTCTTCTCATTTCAACATTAGTAAACTTTTCATAAGGAATAAATTCCAAAACTTCGTGGGGATAAATTGCCCTAAGTTGGCTCTTTTGAAGAAATTTATCAATTTCGGGGTTACCGCTAGTTCATTTGTCGAAAGTTTGTCGAAAATGTTCAAAATTGCAAGGTTGGCATCAACCTCTTTTCTCAGAAAAATATCTTGAGATGTTGGGTCGCTGACATTCTTGACATAGTCCACAACGTTGATATGCGAACCTCAATAACTCATTTGGTATTAGGACATTAATTAACCATATTTGTTTTAGAGTCAATTCAGGGTTGATGCGAAAACGACCGGTGTAGATATTATTTATTTTTTCTCATTGAAAATAATTCGGAAAATCTTTTATTACTTCGAATACTCCAGGATTAATTCTTAAAGATTTATACTCTTCTATTAATTTATTAACATTTGAATACCTTGCTCTTAACCATTCAGCAATTCCAACTTCGGTGGCTTTTAATCCGATACTAATTCATGTTTTTGTTTCTTCATAACTAAAACCCCTATCTTCTCACTCTTTTCGTAATTCCTCAGCAAATTCCTGATGAATATCTTTTCAATTTTCCATCATAGTTTTATTTTTAAGCAAATTATTTATCTGATATATCAAACATTTTTCTTAAAATAATAATATAAGAATTAGGTTTATGGTTAATGAAGAAAAAGCAAAGAGAGAAAGTGCTTCCTGTAAGCCACATTCCAACCAAATGACCATCACTCTTAACAATCTCTTATACCTTAACCAAGCCCAAGTTACTTATGGTTTAAATTCTCCGCAATACCAAGAATTAGTGCGAGAACAAAAAGAAGCCATTGCTGTTTTAGAGAAAGCTTCTGAGGCAGAACAAAAGGAGTATTTGGCTTTAATTCAGCAATTACAGACTTTATTAGCCAAAACCCCTAATCTCTCTGCCCCCGAACAGCAAAGAATAATTACCTTTAGCCAAGAAGCAGATGAATTTACCGAGCAATTAAAAATTCAACAGCAACAGAAAACTAATTTAGTGCTTTGGGTTTGTGGTGGTTTAGTTGGTTTGGGATTGATTGTTTTGGCAGGATTTTTAGTGATTAAGGCTAGGAAAAAAGGAGTCAAAGAATAGATATGACCAATCGAGAAGATTCCAGCAAAAACTTTGATGAACCAATGGAAATTGAAAAAGAAGTAGAAAACACAAAAAGGATTGACAACTGGAAAGCAAAAATCGGCACGACCACTTATTGCGAGGAAATCTTTGACAGACATTCTGTTGATAGCGGACACACGACATTAATAAGGGAACTAGCGGGAAAAGTAAGAGAACTCACTGAGGAAAACCAAGATTTACAGACACAACTTGAAGAATCAAAAAAACTATTAGACAACCTTAACAAGTCCCGTGAAGATACTGAAAAAGAGATTAAAGATAAGAAAAAAGAGTTACAAAAGCTAAAAGAAGAGTGCTTAGAGAAAAGAGGTAATTACAGTATAAAAAAATTGCAGGAGCAGTTAGAAAGACTTTTAGAAGCTCAGATGGAAAGTAGCTCTTATGCTAACAAGCACAAAGAAGAAATTAAGAAAAAGCTAATCAAAAAAACATCGTTGATCATAGAAGAAATAGATGATCTTTGCCAAGCTCAGGAGGAACTAATCCAATTAGAAATGAAACGAGGAGCTGTTGAGTTAGGCATTAATAAAATAGAAGAGAGAATAACAATAATCAATAATCGTATCACTATAACTAATTCTAATATTAACTCCGCCGATGGTCATGTTCTAATTGGAACTAGCATGGGCAATAATGTTAATATGAGTTATGAAAATTATTCAGATCCTATTCAACGAGAATTGAGAGAAAAGATAGAATCTTTAGAAGATGAAATAAAAAGATTAAATGAATTATTAAAAGAACAGGAAAAAGAAAATTCTCAATCAACTAAAAGGACAGAAAAACTAATCAATCTTATTAAACAGCAAAAAGAAAAAATAGTTCAAGCCTACTTGCATTTTGCCCCCGAAAAAGAATTGTTAAGAGAATTAATTAGTGCTCATTTAGAATATAGCAAAGCTCAAAAGCAAGGGTGACCATTAATTAAACTCCGCCGTCAACGAAACAAAGTCGAAAATGAACTAACTAATAAATTAGACGAAAAGCAAATGGAAGAAATAGAACTGATTCTCAGTGACTGTGATGAATTAGTTCGAACTGAATTAGAAGTCGCAGAACAACTTCAGAGCAAAATAGATATTGAATATGATCAAAAAACCTTTACTATCGGTAATATTAATGTTCAACAAGGTCATGCTATGATTGGCAATACTTTCGGAGACAACACTAATCTTAGCTACAATAGATCACTAATTGAATTACCAGAAATAAAAGCAATTACTCTTCCAATAACCGAAGAAGAACAAAATCATTTAATAACTCGAGCCAAAAGACAGTTATCAATCCCTTCCCAGACTGACCGGGAAAACAACAAAGAAATTAAAATAGATAATAACTGAACCAACCACCACTTCACCCCCACCCAAGCCCAAGATTGAATCAACATCAATCCCCCTACCCAACAAAACCAAGCCAGCCAAGAACCCGCCTTCTACGCCTGACTCCGCGACACCAAAAACCTCACTCCTGAACAAGTCTTAAACCACAGCGACCTTAACACTTTAAGGCAAGAATACCAAGCCACTCAGCAAACTGCCCAAACCCAACAAGCTTCCTTCCCGCCGCAAAACACTTAAACCCCCACTACCCTTGCCTTATTAGCCAAAAACAATTCTCAAACCCCTTGCCCTCTTCGCTTCCTCATTCTCCACTATCCATCAAAGCCTAGCAGACAAGCCCTTTGCTAACCAAAACTAACCAATGCCTCCTTCTTTCCTACCACCATAACCCAAACACCACAACTCTCCCTAAATAATTCGCTCCGTAATTAAAAATTACTTCGCTTCCTGGCGCCCTGTTCTAAGCAAAAAATCACCATTCCCTGCTTAGTATTTCACCAAAAACGACCAAAACTTCCTCTCTCTCATTATCACTCCGTAAAATAAGCAAATCACCTTGGTCTTTTTTTAGGCGAATAAACCGCCATTCTCCCCAACCTATCAATCAAAAAGCCAAAAACTAAGCCTC